AGACATTCATGCAACGCTGTGCTGTTACTCTTTTAGTTTTAATAAATAGTTCAAGTCCCTTTCTGTAGCTGTTGACTGCATGGTGCTGTATGCAGAATTCTCTTTCTTTTAGGCCATTGCAAGTATCTGTGTGAAAGGTGTCTGTGTGGAATGTTGTAAGCTTAGAGCTGACATTTGAGGTAAAGTTTGTGTCTCACTGCTGCTCCTGTCCTTGCATGTGTGTGTTGCTGTGTATGCCAAGTTACAGGTACTACAGCACATGCATTTTGGGTAATTAATTTGCTTCCAGTAAGCACTAGGAAAACAGATGTTAAAAACAAAGAAACCAACCAACCAAAAGGAAAAAAACAAAACAAAACAAAACAAAAAAAGCAAAACCCAAATCTCACACACACAAAATCCACACCAAACCTCTGCTTCCTTTAGCCATAAAGCTGTGTATGGTGACTTGAGTCAGCCGTACTGTGGTTGGTATGTACAGGAGGGCTTCAGACTAACCGAGACTGAGAAACTGAGGCTGCCAGCTTGCACAAACTTACTTACCTTTTGGTTTTGGCTTCTTAGCTGATGGTCATACATGACTATCATGGGGCACATTTCAAAGGTTTGCAAAACAACCACCTTCCTATGCTAGTGTTGTTTAGGTTGCTTCTTTGAGAGAGATGGTGAGAGGCTGAAAGAGGCATGGTAGGCAGGTGAGTTGTGAAGTTTTGGGTGAAGCAGCCACAGAAGAGCAGTGGAAGCCAAACGTTTTTAGCTGGTGTAAAAGGAGTGCTCAAAAATAAATGATACATCAGTACCTTTGAAAGGAAGAAAATGACTAAATACACCTAAGAACAAACTTCTCTTTCTAGAGAATTCATTTATTTCAGGACTAAGAATTCAGGTTTAAAATTACACATCCTTTATGAACTTGTTAACTAGAGAAGAATGAAATCCTCTCTAAGGGATTTTAAAACCATGGTCTAGCTCCCTACGAGAAACAGTCAGGAACAGGTTGAGAGCCTGTGGGTTAGGATTAGAGATGGGACTAATATAGGTCAGCTGGTGTTAGGGGTATACTACAGACCACCTGATCAAGGGGAGGCTGTTGACGAGGCTTTCTTGCTCCAGATGCGTGAGATGTCTGGCTCACGGGCTCTTGTCCTGGTGGAGGACTTCAACCATCCAGACATCTGCTGGGAAAACCACATGGCGAGCTGCAAGAGCTCCAGAAGGCTCTTGGAATCCATTGACGATAGCTTTCTGGTTCAGGTATTGGACAGACCGACCAGAGGTGAAGCGTTGCTAGACCTGCTGCTCACCAAGGAGGAGCAGCCGAGGAGATCATCAAAGGCGTCAAGGTCGGAGGCTGCCTGGGCTCCAGCGACCACGCCCTGGTTGAGTTTGTGATCTCAAGCGATGTGGGCCTGGCAAAGAGCAGGATCAGGACACTGAACTTTACTTCAAACTACTCAATGGATTGCTGGCCAAGATCCCCTGGCGCGCTGCCCTCAAAGACAAGGATGTTGAGGAGAGCTGGCGGCTCTTCCAAGATGCCCTCCTGGAAGCACAAGAGGTCTCCATTCCTCTGAATAAGAAAGTGGGCAGGCGAGGTAGGAAACCGGCATGGCTCAGCAAGGACCTGCTGAGAGAACTGAGGGCGAAGAAAGGGGTGTACAAGCTCTGGAAACAAGGCTGTGTCACCTGGGAAGAGCACAGGGATGCCGTCCGGACTTGCAGACGTGGGATCAGGGAAGCCAAGGCGCAGGCAGAACTGAACTTGGCAAGGGACGTGAAAAACAATAAGAAAACCTTCTACAGGTACATTGGCCAGAAGAGACAGGCCAAAACGGGCGTACCTACTTTGGTAAATTTAAAAGGAGAACTGGCTTCAACAGATGAAGAGAAAGCTGAGGTGCTGAATGAGTTCTTCACCTCGGTCTTCACTGGTGGCCAGGATTCTAGTCTTTTTCACGTCCCTGAACCCTGCATCCCCAAACCTCTATGTGGGGACCAAGGAGGTAAATCCCTCCCCACTGTAAGGGCAGAGCAAGTCCGAGAGTGCCTCCTTAGACTGAATGAATACAAGTCTATGGGGCCGGATGGCGTGCATCCCAGGGTCCTGAAGGAGCTGGCTGAGGTGGTTGCCGAGCCGCTCTCCATCATATTTGAGAAGTCGTGGCTGTCAGGTGAGGTCCCGGATGACTGGAGGAAGGGTCACGTCACTCCCATATACAAGAAGGGGAGCAGGGAGGACCCGGGGACCTACAGGCCAGTGAGTCTCACCTCCGTGCCTGGGAAGATCATGGAACAGATCCTCCTGGACAACATGCTCGATCACATGAAGAATGAGCATGTGATCCGAGACAGCCAGCACGGCTTCACCAAAGGAAGGTCATGCCTAACTCATCTTGTGGCCTTCTATGATGGAGTGACGGCATTGGTGGACGAAGGGAAGGCGACCGATGTCATTTACCTGGACCTGAGCAAGGCCTTTGACATGGTCCCCCACCACATCCTCATCTCCAAATTGGAGGGAAGTGGATTTGATGGGTGGACGACCCGATGGATAAGCAATTGGTTGAAAGGCCGCAGACAGAGGGTGGTGGTCAATGGCTCTATGTCCAGGTGGAGGCCGGTAACAAGTGGTGTCCCCCAAGGGTCTGTCTTGGGACCGGTGCTCTGTAACATCTTTATTAATGACATCGATGAGGGAATTGAGTGCACCCTCAGCAAGTTTGCTGACGACACCAAGCTGAGTGGTGCGGTTGATACGGTGGAAGGAAGGGATGCCATTCAGAGGGACCTCGACAGGCTGGAGGGCTGGGCTCGGGTGAACCTAATGAGGTTCAACACGGCAAAGTGCAAGGTTTTGCATTTGGGCCGGAAGAACCCCAGGCACCCGTACAGGCTGGGAGGAGTGGTCCTTGAGAGCAGCTCGGCAGAGAAGGACCTGGGGGTCCTGATGGACGAGAGACTGAACATGAGCCAGCAGTGCGCTCTGGCAGCTCGAAAGGCAAATGGGATCCTGGGCTCCATCAGGAGAGGGGTGGTCAGCAGGGACAGGGAGGTGATTGTCCCTCTCTACTCGGCTCTTGTGAGGCCCCATCTGGAGTACTGTGTCCAGGTGTGGAGCCCTCAGTACAAGAAAGACATTGAGATTTTGGAAAGGGTCCAGAGGAGGGCGACTAAGATGATCAGGGGGCTGGAGCACCTCCCCTATGAGGACAGGCTGAGGGAGTTGGGCTTGTTCAGCCTGGAGAAGAGAAGGCTGCGGGGTGACCTCATTGCAGCCTATCAATACCTGAAGGGAACCTACACCCACGAGGGGAGTAAACTCTTCAAAAGGGCTGACAACAGCAGGACTAGGGGAAATGGATCCAAGTTGAAGGAGGGAAGATTTAGGTTGGATGTTAGGGGGAAGTTGTATACAAGGAGAGTGGTTAGGCCCTGGAACGGGCTGCCCAGGGAGGTTGTGGATGCCCCGTCCTTGGATGTGTTTAAGGCCAGGTTGGACGGGGTCCTGGGCAACCTGATCTGAATGTGTATGTTTGGTGGCCCTGCTAGGCAGGGGGGTTGGAACTACATGATCCTTGAGGTCCCTTCCAACCCGGGTGGTCCCTTCCAACCCGGATTCTGTGATTCTGTGTGATTCTGCAGAGGGTGTTGGATTTTTTTCTTTGTAGAGGGAATATGCATTAGGCTGACATGCTGGCTATCCCTGCTGCAGAGGTACATAAACGACTACTTTGTGATCATTGTTCTTCCTTGTTCAAGAGTGAGATAGGGATGCACTCCTGCTTGCTAGCTTTAAGAACACTGTGCTGTTCGTAGCTTTTGAGCAGTGTTTGGCATATGCTCCAGAGGCTCTTCTAGCTTGCAGTTTTATTTGAGCCTTCAGTCTTTTTCTTTTAGAGAGGAGGAGAAAATTGTGGGCAGCTATTTGGAGCTTCTCCACAGTCCCCTTTCAAAATAAAATGAGCTAGACATAAGAGATAGTTACACACTATCTGTGGCTCCCTGATTCAGAGTGGAGGAAGCTCTCAAACTTGATCATCATAGTAAAAGCCTTTTTATTTGGGGTTTCTAAGCATTATTCCTTTATGAAGGCTGTTCAGCTAGAGAAAAGCTTTGTCATCCTCTGCACATTTTGACTAAAATTCTGGCTGATAGTTCATACTGGAAATAGCTAGTTCTTGTTTTCCTCTTTTTATGGCTTTTCTTGGGATAACCCAGATAAGTCAGCTGAAGAAAACTTCAGGGAGCTCTGAACTGGGATTAGCTGCTCTCAGTGAGAATAAGTGTCTTTCACTGGAATGCGTTAGAAGCTGTTAGTCTCTCTTTAGACAGCCAGTTAGCCTGATGCTGGCTGGTTCCTGAGAGGTACATGTGTAGTGTTTCAAAAAGCAACGTTTGGATGCATCCCAAACTAGACTACAATTGTACTGCTGCATCATCTTAGAAAGGAGTGCCATTTTTAAGTTCCCCATGATGTGTAACTAACATAGGAGGTTATTAGGCTTAGGAAGGTATACATTTGTTCCTGAGTGAATCCTCAGTCTCATTGAAGCAGGTGGCCACAAGCTGGGGCATCCAGCCTCCTGTGCTTCATGCAGAGATGCTGAGGAGTTCTGAGCGGTAGAGTAGTAGAGAAATTGTTTTTATTTATGCCTGGCAGTGCAGGACATGCTCTGAGGAAAAACAGTATTGTTGGCAAAGTTGACACAAAAAGCACAGCTGCAGGAAGCAGAAGATAGAATTGGAACAGTTAACTTCATATTGACACAATTAAGTTTTGGAATAGTTCGTAATGTTCTCTAGTCTCAAACATTATAGTACCTTGTCATGGCAAATCTATTCTCTTTGGCTTGGCAGAGTGTTTATGAATTAGTACTGTATTAGTTTGGTGACATCCCATGATAATTTGTGATTGGTTCATAAATTCTTGTGCTTCTCTTTTTACTATCTGAAACTCTTCTGTTTATGCTCCTACTAATCAAGATTTGCTGTCTACACAGGCAGAAAACACAACTCTTTGACTCCTAGAACAACTATGTTTCCTTGTCCTGGCTGCCTGCATGATATTGATCTCGGAGAACGTGGTGTCAATGGCTTATTTCGAAATTTCACTTTGGAAACAATTGTGGAGCGACACCGACAGGCAGCCAGGGCAGCCATAGCTATTATGTGTGACTTCTGCAAACCTCCGCCTCAAGAATCCACAAAGAGCTGCATGGACTGCAGTGCAAGCTATTGCAATGAATGTTTCAAGGTGCACCATCCCTGGGGAACTGTAAAAGCTCAGCATGAGTACGTTGGACCAACCACTAACACCAGACTTAAAGTAAGTACACTGGATCTTAGGGAATTTTGATTGCTGTGTTCATATATAGCTGCAGACATGTTTGTGCTCTGGCAGTTGATTTTTAGGACCACTGTTGTTTTATTCTGCTGTCATTTGAGTAAATTATAAGCTTTTGTTTGTTGATGCCAAAGTGGCTTGAACATGTTTGAAGGGGACTCTAAGCATTTTGTTTTACTTCAGTTAATGGATTGTTTTTATATACTTATTCATTTACCTTAAGACATAATGATTTTGAGCACCCACAATTGTCTTAAGGGAGTTTTCTAGGAAACACAACCTTGTTGATTTGGTGCTTGTAAACAGAAAGGGTTTTCTGAGTGAATTGGCAGCTGGGGGCTGTCTTGTCCACACTGACCATGAAGTATTGAGTTAAAAATCTTTGGTGCAAGGAAGAAAACTGCCACCAAAACTTCAACCCTGGATGTGGGGAGAATAGACTTCAGGCATCTCATGGAATTAGTTGGCAAAGTCTCATGGGAAACTGTTTTAGAAGGCATTATGGTCCATAGGTACTGGAGTTTGTAAACAACACTAAATTAGGAGGAGATGTTGATTCCCTCGAGAGCCTTGCAGAGGGATCTTGACAAATTGGAGGTCTGGGCAATCACCAACTGCATGAAGTTTAACAAGAGCAAGTGCTGGATTCTGCATGTGGAGCAGGATAAGCCTGGTTTGTGTACAGAGTGAGGGATAAGAGGCTGGAGAGAAGCCCCAGAGAAAGGGATCTGGTGGCTGATGGCTGGCTGAATGTGAGCAGGTGCTGATTTGTGCTCTCTGGTGACAGCAACAGAAGCCTAGGTAACAGCAAGGAGCTGCATCAGGGCAGGGTCAGACTGGATGTTAGGAAAAGATTCTTCACCAGAGGGTGGTGGCATGGAACAGGCTCCCCAGGGCAATAGGCATGGCTGCGAGCTGCTGGAGTTCAAGGGGTGTTTGAGCAAATCTATCAGATACAGGGTTTGAATTTTAGGTGGTCCTGTGTGGAGGCATGAGTTATCTCGGTGATCCTTGCGGGTTCCTTTCAACTCAGAATAGGCAGTGATTCTAAATGTCATGTCAAGGAGCATGCCTGTGTATGGCAAACAGAAAAACCAATGGAACACAACCAAACAAAACCCTAGCATGAGGATAGTTCCCTTTGCATGTTTTGAGCCTGAGCTTAATCCTATGCAAAGCATCTTTTTTGTCGTATTCCTCCTTGCAATGAATAATAACTGGAGGTGAGAGCTCAGGCCTCTGCTGCTATTAGGTGCACCCTTCTAATCCTTCTTTGTAGCTAAAGACAACAGTGCAATTGCAAATTTTCTACTTTGCAAACTACTGCTATGTTCAGACAAAACACAGTGCCTGCAAGCTGCTGTCACTTTTGTTTCTCTTGCTAAGTGTGATGCAGGACACGGGTGTACCTAATTAAATTCAAGTTACACAACAGGAGGAATTGTCACAACTGCCCTCTGTCTAGCAAAAACCCACAGTAAGTCTTAGTGTCCCAGCATTAGCTACATGCATGTGTTTGGTGACAAGAATTGTGCTGTGGGCTGACTTTTGTGAATTTCCTAGTAGCAGCAGTGCTCACTTGATGAAGCACTCCAGAAGTGCTTGGATGTTGCTAGGTTTTGATCCCATGCAGGTGGTATCATGGTGAATCACTCCATGTATTTGGGGCCAGAGTGTGGGAGAAAACTTGATTAAAGGTAGGCCTAGTGTGTTGCTTCTGTGCCTTGTACAGAAGCGCGGGGAAGGCTTTAAGTGTATTATCAATACTAAATCTCTCATTATATTTTTGAGGACTGAGTTTAGTATGAGGAAAGAAAAGTGTATTTTTAATTACAGTACGTTGTTAAGATCAGAACTGAATGAAAGAGTATTTGTGAGTCTCCTAAATAATGTTCCTGGTTGTATCATTAATTTGAAACTAGACTGCAGAGCACTTTGTAATGTGTGTGGTGGGGATGTGAGAAGCACACAGTAGACTGATTGTTCTTGAATTTTTAGAGAGCTAGACAAGATAATCTGCTTTTTCTGTCTCTGGTTTGCAGGCTACACTTACGATTTACGCAAGAGGTAAATAAAAATATTTGGTTTCTGTTAAGTGTGGCCAGACAGTGCTGTGGAAAAAATGACTTCCGTGGGATAGGAGATGATTGCAGTTCTTTGGAGATGTCTTTTGCCACAGCTGATTTTGCTGAAAGTTTCTTCTTCCTGTTTTTTTTTTTTTTTTAAATTAAATCAACCAGAGAGTGACAGTTGGGTAGCTTATCATGTGTTCTGCTTAATGATAATACTGTATACCAGGGTGCTAGTGAGACTAGTATCTTTTGCCTCTCATCATAGGCCAAGATAAAATATGGTCTTGAGAGCTGGTTTCAAGGATGGCCAGCAGTTTTCATTTTGTGTGTCCATATTTATGCTACTGGAATTTTGTCTTTATTTTGGCTCTTTTGTTTTTCTCCCCACCCCCTTTTTCGGTGCGTATGTCTGCTCTTTGAGCTTGGAATTGGACGTTTTTCTCCCTCATTTAGCAGTTACTCCATCATACATGTTCAGTTTTTGAAAGATGATTGTTAGCGAGTGCCAGACTTTTCAGAATATTGAGGCTGATATTTGAGTGAACAATTGTAATTGGAATCAGATGGGAAACAGTAAATGAAACAGAGCTTTTTATCTTTAAACAGACTGTGAGTGATGTTAGAGGCTGTATTTCGCTCCAAGAGCTGTAGCTATGTAGCTGTTCTGAGCCTAGTTTAGATTTAAATCGCTCCTGTATTCGTAGCTCTTTTGAGAGAGATTTGAGGTGTTGACCTGGAGCCAGTAGAATTTGAGAGGGTGAGTGTGTTGTATATATTGTATTCACAGTTCTGAACATGGCTACAGGTATTTTACAGCATGCAAAGAACTTCAGAGATTAGCAAGATGATTAACTGCAATATGGAGGCTACTTGGTGTGTACACAGACATAAAATTGTGGACAAACATAAACATATGGCCTGTAAGTTGAATATATGAAAAATCCATTAGAGGAACTAGATGCTGCCTTGGGACGGCTGTTTGCTTTAATGGTTTCTTTTTGGAAATAGTCTTTCATTCTTTGCTCTCTTTTTTAGGTTCTGATGTGTCCAGAACATGAAATGGAGAAAGTGAACATGTACTGTGAAATCTGCAGAAGGCCTGTCTGCCATCTCTGTAAACTGGGTGGATCTCATGCAAACCACAGGATAACAGCAATGAGTACTGCCTATAAAACTCTGAAGGTAACAGTAAGCGTTGTTTGACCTGAACTTAAGAAGAGAAAGTACACTGAGCTTCTGTTGTAAGGGCAAACTCTCTCTGGCGGGAAGCCTGCACATGTCCTTGGAGGACATGGGTCATGAGGCATGCTGTTGTGCAAGCTCTGTTAGTGTACATATTAATGTGACTTAGCATATCTGAGAAAATAATTTTTCTGTGACCCTTTCAAAGTGCTTCCCCTTAATTTAGCCATTTGTGCAGCAGTACTGACCCTTCCAGAAAGTTTAAACCACTAATAGTTGGCAGTTTGGCTGGTACCACTGGGTAGTTTCAAGGCTGGTTCCCTTGTATCTTGGGTGAACTGACATTTCAAAAGCACGTCAAAACAATTTGAAACTGAAGCGTCTCGCTTCTTGACCTTGCGTGTTGCTGAAGCTGCATGGTTGTTAATTGACTAAGTACGGTACAATAAAGAAGACTTGCAAACATTGTTTTGTTACTACAAAATGACTGCTGCTATCTTTTCCCCTTTCTTCTTCTCTAGCTCTTATCCACAAAAAAAAAAGGGGGGGGAGGAAAGAGGGAAAGAATGGGGAAAAAAAAAAAAAGGAAAAAAAGAGAGAAATATTTTTCCTTTCTGCTTTCTGACCTCCTTGCTTATTTGCAAAGCTGTACTGATGTTAGCTTTTGAAGATAGGGAAGTGCAGAGACACACATAAGCTCTGCTTCGAGCCACTCATTTCTTTAATAAATCTTACTAGAAATGAATTTATAACAGGCAGGGCTTTTCTGTAAGTTATAATAATGTTCTTGAGCTTCTGGTTCCTCAGCTGAAGAGAAGATGACATCTCTGGGAAGGAATGAGCCTTCTTCAGTTGCTTTGTGTTGCTTGCTCAAACGAATCTGTCAGTGTGGTCATTTTGGGAAACTCAGCAGTTCTTTACAGCATTGACTTACAAAGGCTTTGACACTGTGTCCTGCAGTATTCCCCTGGGGAAGTTGACAGCCCATGGCTTGGACTGATACACTCTTTGCTGGGTAAAGAACTGGCTGGATGGCCAGGCGCAGAGACTGGTGGTGTTAAATCCAGCTGGTGACTAGTCATGAGTTGGTGTTCCCCAGGAGTCAGTACTGGGGCTTGTCCTCTTCAATATCTTTACTGATGACCTCGATGAGGGCATTGAGTACTCGCTTGGCAAGTTTGCAGATGACAGCAAGTTCCAAGAAAGTGTTGCTCTGCCTGGGGGTAGGATCTGGACAGGCTGCATCGCTGGGCTGAGGCCAGTGGGATGAAGTTCAACAAGACCAAGTGCTGGGTCCTGCCTTTGGCCACCACAGCCCCAGGCAATGGTACAGGCTTGGGGCGGAGTGGCTGGAAGACTGCATAGAAGAAACAGACCTAGGGGTGTTGATCAGTGCTTGGGTAAACATGAGCCAGTATTGTGCCCAGGTGGCCAAGAAGACCACTGGCATCCTGGCTTGTATCAGAAACACTGCTGACAACAGAAACATGGAAGTGATCATCCCTTTGTAGTCAGCATTGAGGGTGCAGCTTTAGTATGGTGTTTGGTTTGGGGCTCTCATACAAGAAAGACAATGAGGCCCTGGAGTGTGTTCAGAGAAGGGCAGTGAAGCTGGTGAGGGGTCTGAAGCAGAAGTCTTACGAGGAGTGTCTGAGGGAGCTGGGATTGTTCAGTCTGGATGAGAGGAGGCTCATGGGTGAAATCATTGCTTTCCGTAACTACCTAAAAGGAGGTTGTGGTGAGGTGGGGGTTGGCCTCTTCTGCCATATAACTAGCAATAGGATGAGAGAGAATGGCCTCAAGTTGTGCCAGGGGGGATTCAGGTTGAGTGTTAGGAAATGCTTGTTCTCTAAGAGTGAGGTCAGACACTGACCTAGGCTGCCTAGGGAGGTGATGGAGTCACCATCCCTGGAAACGTTGAAGAAATGTTTAGATGCTGTACTGAGGGACATGCTTTAGTGGGAAATTTTGGTGGTAGGTGGATGGTTGGACTAGATAAGGTCTTTCTAACCTTGGTGATTCCCTGATTCTATGACTTTCACTGATAGTAGGCTGCCAGCCTTGCTACAAGGTAAACTGAATATTTACTGAGTGACTTATTCCTGCTGTTGATGTGTTTGGTTTGGAAGTCCTTGATCTGATTGTTTGCTATTCTATTTTAATAGGAGAAGCTTTCAAAAGATATAGAGTATCTCATCAGTAAGGAGAGCCAAGTAAAAGCTCACATCTCACAGCTGGGTCTTCTGCTGAAAGAAACAGAGGTAATAATGATTTGCTGTTTTGAAGGGGTAGTCCTCGAAGGGACACAGCAAGGGCTGGAGCTGTTTCCAGCGCAGTGTTTCACTGGCTATATTGAGGGCTGGAGGGTTAATTTGAAACAATTTCTGTAAAAGTTGTGTTAGTCTTCTCACTTTAAAGCCATTCGAACAGTGTGGGAAATTTAGGCAGTGTACAGAGGAAGGGGACGTTTTGGTTTCCAGTGTAAATTTGAAATAAGGCTTATTTGATACTCCAGTCAAAGATAAATGAGTTGGACTTAAAGCTCTCTGTATCAAAGGCAATGCACTGCTTATGTTTTTAAATTATTTTGAGGATGTTGCAGTGAAGTCAGAATTAAGATAAAAAACTCTGCATAGAAGACAGAGGTGGGGATATTCTTTGCATGCAAAATGCAAAACTGACAGAAATTGCAGGAGCTCCTGGCCCTGCCCTTTCCTGGATGCAGATCATATCTGTGCATCCATCTGAGGTAGCAGTCAAGAGTGGTCCTGTTGCTCCAAGGGAGTTGGGTGTTGCGACGTGACACTGGGCTACCCTGGGAAACATACAGAGATCCCCTGTGGTAAATTAAGATGAAACAACACCAAGCACTCAGTTAAATATTTGCTTGGATCTCACTATGATACTTAGATTTATATGTCTGTATCTTATTGGCTGTGAGCTATGATGATAGGCCTTGCATTACAGCCCTTGCATCCAGCAGTGTCACAGCAGTCAGGATTGTTTCTGTGTTGCTGAGCACACGTGCCTTTTGCAGTCTTTTGACTTTCATGTGCTCACAGTCCCCCCCACTAAAGCGGAGCTCAAGTCACAATATGTGCAGTTCCGCTGAGCATGTACAGTCCTTCAGAATGTGCCAGAAATGAGCTGGGGTCTCAAGTGGCTGTCAGACTGAGATATGACACTACAGCTGCTCAAGTGCAGTTTGGGGCTTAGAATACGCTGGAAATTGGTCCATGGGTTGGAGGGTCTTCAGGTGTCTCACTTTCCCACTGCCCAAAAGACTCCTTGTTGAGCATCTCTCCCTCCCCCCAGTAAGTTCTTCTGATGTTGCTGAACAGGTCTTCATAGTCTCAGAAGATAAGGAAATCCATCTGGAGAAGTAGTGTCTTGCCTTGTTAAGGTCTCCTCCTCCAGCATCTCCTTTTCTCCTACCAAGTGTTTGGGACATTAAGCCATTTGCTTCTCAGCCTCTTACAGCGAGAAGTCTCTTGGGCATGAAAGCTTCAGACCCACCTTCTACAGTGCTCTTCCGTGAGCTGTTTAGGCAGAGAAATGTCCTGTATAATTCAGGGCATAATCTGAGAAATAATTTCCTGCTCTTCGTTCTCAGTGTTAAGATAGTAAATATATACTAACTTGCAATATTGCTTCTCTTTTCATTCTTTAACAGTATAACAAAGCTGTAAATCTTCCAAGCAGATGATTGAATTGCTGTTACAGTTCATAAAAAAAACTTTTGTGTTTCCTTACACAGACACAGAGCAATGAGATTGGTTTAAAATGTATTTTGTTCTTTCCTAGTGCAATGGGGAAAGAGCTAAAGAAGAGGCATCTCAGAGTTTTGAGAAATTAATTAATATCCTGGAGGAGAAGAAGTCTGCAGCTCTTAGGGCAATTGAAGTGTCTAAGAATATAAGGCTGGACAAATTGCGAACTCAAGCAGAAGAATATCAAGGTCTCCTGGAAAATAATGGCCTTGTAGGATATGCTCAAGAAGTGCTTAAAGAAACTGATCAGTCCTGTTTTGTTCAAACAGCAAAACAACTTCACGTCAGGTATCTTGGTTATTGTCTGGGTTAGGTACAGGTTCTGCTGCTGCACGACGTCTGGTCAAGTAGGTTATCTTAACACTTGCTAGCAGAGTTCTGGGTGTAGTACCTTTTATTGCAGAACCTCATAACCAGTCCAGCTGCAGTTCAGAAGAGATTACTGTGGTACAGTGTGTGTTCAGAAGTAGCACACCAAAGGGATTCTGTCCTTCTAAAGCATCTAGCCCTGCTTAGTAGAACTGCAGTGGAACAGCAGTCTGTTCAGCTCACTGACACATTCCTTTGCACTGTGATTATATCAGCTATTTGCAAGTTAATCTAACAGGTCTCTTCCGACTTTACACTTCTGATTTAATAGTTGGTCTCCATTAGCACTTCACATCTGTTTTGTTCTTTGAACAGAATGCAAAAAACTTTGAAGATAATCTGCTATTTGAACTTTTATTTGTTCACTGTTCTTACCTTCATGTGCATAACGATTTTAATCTTTGAATTTAAATTCTGCCTAGTAAAGAAAATGAGACTTCAGTAAGTAAAAGCTAGCATTTTTGTTTTCAGAAATGTACGTTTATACATTCCCTTTTCTTCTGTCTGCCATCCCTCCACTCCTGTGCTTTTAGAATACAAAAAGCTACTGAATCTCTGAAGAGCTTCCGGCCAGCAGCTGAAAGCTCTTTTGAAGGTTTTGTGGTGGACACAACCAAGCAAGAAGTGATCCTTGATGACTTATCCTTCTATTCCAGTGGTAAGTTGTGAGAACATCAAGTCTTTGTTGAGTTACAGCTTTAAGAGCTTCTCTAGAAAGGGTGATATGCAGGGCTGCAGTTGCACATCTCAGTGAGGTGCCCTGACTTGCACTGATCCTTCTGTCTTCATGATCCACACAGCATTACCTATCAGCATTACCTATTTGCTCTGACAGGCAAGCTGGGATGTCATCAACTTCAGTACCAGTTTACAATGACTTCTAAAATACTGTAGTTAACGACAATTAAATCTTAGTGGAAGCTTGTTGTGTGCGCAGAAAAAAAGTGGGCATTTTTAATGCCGTTTTTTTTTTTCCAGCAGCTTGCACAAATTAATAGCACAACTTCCAAATCAAAAGCAGAAACTAAAGAATTCATTTGTGTGCAGGAACACAGGCAGTGTCACCTTTAACTGTGCAAATCAAATTATTTTCCACGCTGCTGAACTCCTGAGTGGAGAAGGTATAGATCACTTTAAAACAATGTATATTTAAATGTCTAAACTTCTGGATTTTTTCTCCTCAATCTATGGCCTTCCAGGTCTGGAAGTACCAGAAATCAATGAGGAGCAATGCAGAATGTATAACAAAGCTGTGATCAGCTGGGAGTCCTCCAAGAAGACAGACTCTGCTGATATGTACGTTCTTCAGTATCGCAAGCTTAGTAGAGAAGAGGAGAGTGTGATGTGGCAGGAGGTTGAAGTTTGCAGCAAGAGCAAAGTCATACCTGATCTTGATGAAGACAGTAGCTACGCCTTTAGAGTTCGAGGGTACAAAGGGGCCATGTGTAGCTCGTGGAGCAAAGAAGTTATTTTGCGTACACCTCCTGCTCCAGGTACTGGCTTTTCTTATGTCCACCTGCACTGGAAACCACCTACAGTTCCCAGACTTCTATCCCATTATTGGTTGTATGTATATGCATAGAAGCACTGTAATAAACAGGTTAATTATCATACTGCGATTATTAGCCTGCATGACAACCCTAGTAGCTTTTCATAGTGAGAATTTCTAATGCCAATGTATGTTAAGATGCAGTTTGTAAGCACAGAAAGCCAAAAGATGCTTAACTAACAGCAGACTCTTGGAATACTATTTTTCAGTTCTTAGCTTTCTTTTTGATGACAAATGCGGTGTCATGGTTTTGTGATTTTTGGCTTTCGGTATTCCACATCATAACATCATGTGGGGCACTGGGACTTTAACTGTTAATGCTCAAGTCCTGGGTACCTGCCCTGAAGAGAGGAAGAACTACATTCCCCAGGGGACCTTGCGGTCAGGGAGAGGAGGTTTAACTCCTGGCAAGGTCACTTGAGTTCTCTTTCTCGCCTGCCCTTCGTCGTGGGCGCTGCTCCCGTCTCCCTGCTGCTCAGCTGCACTGCGCATCTCACCCCAGCGTTGTGGTGAGGCCTATCCACATTTCAGATATTCTCTCTCTCATTGTATTTGATTTATTAGCTTCAATTCTGATTATATTGTATTATAGTATGTTATCTTGCATTCTGATAATATACTTAGTAAATTAGTTTGTTTCTCCACAGATCGGTGCCGCTGTTTTAATTATTTTGGGGTCTCCTGTTTCCTTTTTTCCGGAGGCGCGGATCTGCGGATCCCTCTGCCACGCTCGTCACGGAACCGGGCCGAACCAGCCCGTAAACCATTGCATGCGGGTACAACAGTGAATTTCTCCTGCTGAACCCAGAAAGAACGTCTGTGGAAAGCAGGGCTGGATTTCCTTTACTGCTAAGAGCTGAACCCCAAATCACTTGAGGGAGTGCTATCTATCTATTGCTCTCACCGCAACCCTGAAATGGAGCGAACGATTAA